ATGCTTGCAGCACAGAGTGTCCAGTTGGGCATCAATGATGTTGTTGTGGCTGGTGGAATGGAAAACATGTCTAATGTCCCTAAATACATTGCAGAAGCAAGGTTTGTTTTTTTCAAAGGTTCAGCGAGTACAATTGCTGTTAAGACTTTGGTTCTCCATCCTCCTCCCAAGAAAAGAAAAAAGAAAGAGTTAGAGTAAGATTTTCTTGGAGTCACAACTATAAGGAGAATAATGGCCTTTTCCGAGCTGTTTGCTACATATCTCAGGGAAGTCTCACCATAACTTCGACTAACTCTCACATTCCCTTTGTTTGATTTAACCATGCACTCTCCTGTTCTTAAGTTGTACGACAAGCTTAGTAAACACTCTAAAAGCAACCTAGTATTGCTGTACTTGCTATTCCTTTCACTTATGGTTTTCCATGCCTTCATATTAACCATTTCTGAGATCTGCTCTTTCTTCATCGTGATTTGACATCTTACCCCCTCACCATAAAGTTTTATATTATTTATGGGTTGTTCTGTGTGGCAGACTTGTTTTACCTCTCAATTCATTTATGCTTTCTTATAAGTTCTGATTACATTGTTCGGCAATATGTAATGGCCTAAATTGGCACACTTGCAGGAAGGGATCTCGTCTTGGTCATGACAGTCTTGTTGATGGAATGCTTAAAGATGGTTTGACTGATGTCTATAATGATTGTGGTATGGGAGTTTGTGCAGAAATATGTGCTGAGAACCATAAAATTACAAGAGAGGATCAGGTTTGTCTTCACACTCTTTTCTTTTACCTGTGAGGCTGTGAAATATATAACTTCACTTATTGGTATTTGGCCTTGATGTAAACGGACATATCAAAGAGTTGTCATATGTTAGTTCGTGTGTTTGTATTAATAAGCATTTCCTCTTTTACTTTCTCTTTGTTTGTTGCTGATGTTTAATTATTTACCATTTGAAGATGTTTTTGTCGCAATGAATTCAAGATTAGATACACTTCTCTCTCTCTCTCCCCCTCCCCCTCTCCCTCTCCCTCTCCCTCTCCCTCTCTCTCTCTCTCTCTCTCTCTCTCTCGCTCTCTCTCTCTCTGTTTTGTAGAAGTTGGATAATTCAAACTTATGTTCTTTTCTCTACACTTCTATCACACTGTTCATTTCTGGAAAATTTATCATCTGTCATCATCTTTGTTACAGCCATTCGTTTTACAGTGCTAGCATGTCAGAAATAGATATGCTATAAGAAGTCTTTTGAAATTTAAGGGAATTAAGTGCTTATGTCTGAACAATATATGCAGGATAACTATGCAGTTCAAAGTTTTGAACGGGGAATTGCTGCTCAGGAAGCTGGTGCTTTTACATGGGAGATTGTGCTGGTAACATAACTGGACCTTCATTGCTAGATATAGCTCATAGACCATAGTTAAAAACAAAATAGTTTCTTATATCACTGTTTATAAACCATTTTCTGGGGAATTTCAGGTTGAGGTGCCTGGCGGAAGAGGAAAACCATCCACCATCGTTGATAAGGATGAAGGTCTAGGAAAGGTGAGTACATATACTGCAAGCAAAACTAAAATACCATTGATGCCTTGGTTCCTTTACATCATTCCTTGAGGTGCACCAATGAATTTACTGATTCAAGGACCTAATCCGTGGATGAGGAGAGAAATAGGAATCCATGAGAAGAGTTATTTCCTAAAAAGTAAAAATTTGTTTCAGGGCAATCATCTTTTTAACATATAGAAGGGAATGAAGAAATTTATGAATGCAGTATCTGCCTTTCAAATGCCAGAAGGATCAAAGAGATGAATTTACTTTTTTAGTAGCTAAAACAGGTTAAACATATATGAATTTACTTTTCAAGGCCTATAATATCCTGACTTTGTCTTTAAAGCTATGAGCTTTTATATTGCACATATTTTTTGTTTTATTGCCAGTTTGATGGTGCAAAATTGAGGAAACTCCGACCAAGTTTCAAGGAAAAAGACGGTACAGTAACTGCTGGTAACGCTTCTAGCATAAGGTTTGTTGACTTTCATGCACCATCTTATATTCTTTCAAATCTGCTGTTTATAGATCAAGAACTGTTTGTTGAACTAATAAATAAATGCATTTCATCCTTTTCTCTTATTGATTAACTACTCTGAAATTTACTTGCACCAGCCACCATGTCCTGCTATCAGAATGTAATGATCCCGAAAAAATAGGCTGGAAATGGATTTTCCACAATTTTTGCAAAAATATTATATCTGCTACAATTTTAGTTCCTCAAACAAAGTGAACTTTTTCTTTCCATCCCTAGGGTCGAGCTAGTTGTGGGTTTATGTCATCCTCTACCCTCCCTTTGGAACACAGTTCTTAACATGACATCTGAGTAAATGGGTGAAACGTGATAATAATTGGCTCCTTCCCACTTTTCCCTGTGGAATGTGCCATAACAATATTTAGCAATTTGATTTCTTAAAGAAATTCTTTGTTCAATTCGCTAATCTAATTAGAAATAATTGGTTTTGCAATTCTTTTAACTAATTCGCTAGTGAAACTTTTAACCTTTGCAGTGATGGTGCTGCCGCACTGGTCTTAGTAAGTGGAGAGAAGGCTGTAGAACTTGGACTAGACGTGATTGCAAAGATCAGAGGATATGCAGATGCTGCTCAGGTACTTTTCCTCTATGAATTTGAAAACAGAATAAAGAGGACAGCCATTTATGTATCTGGAAAAATTACCTGATAGAAATTCTTATTTCCTCTTAGGTATGGTCTGTCAATTGTTACATTTTTGAAGCTCAAATTGAATTAACCTGCAGGAACCTGAACTATTTACAATTTCACCTGCTAAAGCAATTCCGAAATCTATCAAAAGTGCTGGCTTAGAGGCTTCTCAAATTTATTACTACGAAATTAATGAAGCTTTTGCAGTACGCATTCTTACCTAGTATTTTTCGGTGAGCTTGTTTTCAATTGTGTGAATACTTCCTTAACAGACACTGCTTGAAGGTAGTAGCCCTTGCAAACCAAAAGCTGCTTGGTCTTAATCCGGTGAGTTTTCTCTTTTCCCTCCCCTCCATCTCGAGCTTCTAAATTTGTGAATCTCTTTAACTTGGAGAAAATCAGACTGGATAGGCTCTTCTTTTGAGAAACTATTTGGATTATCCTTTTTACGAAAACAGATCAAGCATAGCTGATGTAAAATATTCTAATATTATTTGCTTGGCAGTACTTAATTTAGTGTATAAATAAAGCATTGTATGATCATTGTCCTGAAGTATTCTTTTGAATTGTTCTTTCAGGAAAAAGTTAATGTACATGGTGGAGCTGTATCTTTGGGGCATCCTCTTGGATGCAGTGGAGCTCGTATATTGGTTACACTTCTTGGGGTATGTGTTACTAGACTGAAACATCATTATAACTGAAGTAAAATTCTAACCTCAGGAACACTGGTCCCTTTCCTCCTCCCCTGATATTTTCTACTTCTTTTATATTGTGATCTGTAAATTAAATGATCTATGAACATGAATCTCTCGACTCACTCTTTTGGGTCTTAGTAATGCAGTTTGAGATCTATAGTTCATATCTTTGTTTCATGGTTCTTGAAAATTAATAAATGTTTATTTGCTCTGCTTTTCCAATGGGACGTTACAGGTATTGAGGCAGAAAAATGGTAAATACGGAGCTGCTGGTGTTTGCAATGGAGGAGGAGGTGCCTCGGCCCTTGTTGTAGAACTTATGTAATACTTTTCTTCAGTCCTTGGTAAGTCCAAAGAAAAGACATTCATCTGAATCAAGTCTTACCTACATGACACTGCATATCTTCCATTGTTCGGTTGGAATTTTTGGAATATATAAGATGTTTTTGATAGATTGGACATTAAAGCCAGAACAGAGTCAATGGGACAACTAATGTGTGAGAACTAGAAGAGTTTGTAAGGAAAGTAAGACTATCACTGAGATGACCAAGAGAGAGACATGTTAACCAGACTGTTCATGTTCTTCTGCTACTTCAATTAGAGTCTAATAAGCTTATGTTGCTGAACCATTAAATCTGCTCAAGGTTAACTACTTTATATTTCCAACTGCATAAAGCAGTAGCTTCAGAAGATGTTTGTTTAACAAGGGTACCTTCAAATTAACCACCTAGAATCAGCTAGCAATTTTCCCATTTCTCATCTCCACGAAAAACGAGTTTAGCGCAGATGCAAAAACTTAATGATTCTCTCTTTTCTGGCTTTAACACATGAATTGAGAGTTGCTGCTCACGTCAGTAGGTTTTGCCCAACGACAGCATTCTAAATGATGAAACTTTAATAGTTCAATGACTCAAATATAGACTTGGACTGCCAACAATGACAATAGTTATTGTGCAAATTAAAGTGATCATGTAACATTGTCATCTTTATTGTCTACTCCCTCATTCCGTATGGAGCTGTAGTAGGAGAAATAGAAGTTTGCTTACAATAGTTGCCTTATTTCAGTTGCTAATTCCATTGCAGGTTTGCATTGCGAGCTATTTACGAGAGATGAGCTTCAATGGATTTGATTGACTGGTTGGGTGCCTTCAAGTAGAGAAGATTATGCAATTTTCCCATGTTCTTGCAAACGATTGTACTCTTCACATATAAATGCAATAGTGTTTAATTTCTTACAGAATACTTCCATGCTTTTATAATAGATTTACATATTGTATCTGTTGACACATAAAAGCATAGAGTACAGTGGTGTTTCGTACTAAACTTAAAATCTCGAACCCGTCTCTTATTAGAACTGTCAAGGATGCAGACACTCAAATATCTGTCAATAACCAGGACAAGTCAGTTGAATTGTATAACAGGCTATCGGCTGGGAGGCTGTTGACTGAAGTTAGAGCAACAAGCTGATAAGTTAACTAGAGTTGGAAGCTAGACTGTAGTTAGAAGTAAGTTAGTTAGCACAGTTTTAGAAGGTAGTTATACTGTAGCTCTCTATAAATACACAGTACACTCATGTACATACATACAATTATTCATTTTCTTCTCAATAACATATTTAGTTTCTCATTCTTTGAGTGTTGCCTTCTCTTGCATGTCTTCTTCCTCAAGCTCAACCTTCAGATTCATGGCTGCTAACACGATATCAGAGTCACCGGAGTTGATCGAAGGTAGTTTTCGAGCTAGTTCTTACTCTCGTTACCTCAATTTCACAATTTTGTGGTAAATTGTCCAACTGTAGCGTGAAACTGAAAAACTGGGGTTTGCTCTTAAGAAGCAGCTGAAAATGGCGATCGGAGAAGAAATGTTAGTTGAGACTTCATTTCCAGCAACTACGACCACCGGCACAACTGTGTTTCCATCAATTGACCACAATCACCCACTTTTCCTTCAAGCAACATACACTCCAGGTAGTACTCTGATTTCTCTTCAACTCACTGGTTCAGATAACCACGCTTTATGGAGTGGGTCTATGAGGATTGGTCTGCTAGGAAAGAGCAAGTTAGATTTTGTAGATGGTCGCTTTCTTAAGTCGAAATTTGAACCTGAGCTTCATGATCAATGGGAGAAGGTTAATGTTGTAGTTCAAATGCAGTTAGGCCAGGTTTACTTAGTAGTGTGGTCTATGCTCCTAATGCTCACAAGGTTTGGGAGGATTTAAAAGAGAGATTCGATAAAGTAAATAGATCTAGGGTCCTGTTCCTACATAGAGAGATTCATACCCTCACTCAAGATACTATGTTTTATTGCTGATTACTTCTCTAAATTGAGAGATCTCTGGGATGAATTTGACGCACTAATGCCCTGCCCTGGCTGTCCATGTCTTGAGTCCAAAAAATATGCCCGAACACTTTGAGTATCATAGGCTGCCTCAGTTTCTGATGGGATTGAATGAGTCCTACTCACAGTCAGATCATGATAATGTCTCCAAACCTATCATTAACAAAGCCTACTCTCTACTCAGACCACTCAAACTACTGAAGGCATAGAAGGATCTGCATTCTATAGTAATAAGGGTACAGTGAATGCAGGTGGAAACTTCAAGTTTAGGAAGAATCAGGTCCAGCATGAATACTGACATTATGAGGGTCACACAAAGGAGAATTGCTACAAACTTTATGGCTATCCATCAGACTTCAAAGGAAAGAAGAAGGGGCACAGTCCTGGTGTGTGTGCAAACAGTGTGAGTAGTCCAATATTTCCAATTGCAGCAGAAGCAGGTACTTATCAAGCCTCCAATTACACATCAACAAGTTGTGTTCCAACATGCTCATATGCCTCAGCTTACACAAACTACTCCTAACAATGCTCCTATTGTTCATTTCTTCACCAAAGAGCAGTACCAACAGATTCTTCAGATGTTGTCCAAAGGGAATGAAGAGGGGCTAGAATCATCTGCCAAGCTAGTTGTTGTAGGTACTCTAATCACTCTAATGTCCAATTATATCAAGCATAATTGGAATATAGATACAGGAGCCTCAAATCACATGACCTCAAACCTTGATGCTCTTACATCTTGTCAAGCAATTCCCAGCTCAAAGAGATGCACTATTCAATTACCTACTGGAAATGTAGTTTATGTATCATATAAAGGAACCTCCTCGGTACTTAGAAACAAAAGTATCTCTAATGTGCTATACATTCCAGACTTTAGATACAACTTGCTCTTAGTGTCTCAACTCACCAAAGAACTTCAATGCACGGTAGCATTCTTCCCTGAGTTCTGTATTTTTCAGGATTTCTATAGTGGTCAGGTGAAGGAGATTGGTAAGGAGGAGCATGGTTTGTACATACTTCAAGGAGGACCATCACAGTACTCTGCAACAACACCAGAAAATAAGTATGCTCACACATCCAACTTACTTGACTCTGAATTAGTATGGCATGGGAACTCATCACTGCCATGCACATGCTCCTATTGATGTAATAAAGAAGTTAGATGCTCTTAGTACCTTAAAGACAGGAACTCATCACTACCATGTATGCCTAGTTGTTAAACAGTCTAGATTGCCTTTTCCCTTAAGTACATCAGTGTCACAGTTTGCATTTGAATTAGTCCATTGTGATAGGGTTGTGCATATTCCGGTAAATACCGAATTACTGTACCGAATTGAAAATTTTGGTATTTGGTATTCGAGACTTTGGTATTAGGTATGGTATTTGGTTTAAGTTTTAAAAAAATGGTATTAGGTATGGTATTTGGTATTTTAAAATGAAATACTGAAATACTGATATTGTACCGAAATACATATTATATTATACAATGCACATATTATTAATTACATAAATATAAAAAATCTAAAATGTTGCTTTCCTTTATTCTCTAAGTTCATCAATTAACTCTAAGTGAACAAGACATTTCTAATGATTAAATTTATTCCTTTATGTACAGTTTTCTCTACCTGGATTGATATTTGCTGGTTTTGGGCAAAACTTTTGTCAACAAATATTTTTAGTTTTGTACTTTTGAGTACTTTAATTAAGAATATTACAGTCTATGACTCTATGCACTAGTATTCAAATCGAATAAACCGAAGTTATCGAACCGAATAAACCGAAACCAAAAGGAGAAAAAATGAACCATACCGAATTTAATTAGGTACGGTACTGGTATAGCATTTTAAGAAACCGAATACCAAAAATACCGAACCGAAATGTCTAAATACCGTACCGTACCAACCGACGAACACCTCTATATTGTGATATCTGGGGGACATATAGAGTGCCATCTCATAGTGGTAAGAGGTACTTTGTCATAGTAGTTGATAACTATACCAAATACACTTGGATTTTTCTGCTCAACTTCAAATCAAAAGTTATAGTTGTACTAAGAGATTTTCTAACTTAAATAAAGAACACTTTTTCAGCTTCAATAAAAGTCCTAAGGATTGATAATGGTAGTGAGTTTTTCAGTCATGAGTTTAAAGAGTTGCTATCTAGTTTTGGTATTTTTCATTAAAGCACATGTGTCTACACCCCTCGATAAAATGGAATTGTTGAGAAGAAGCAAAGAACTATTTTAGACATGGCCAGGTCTCTCAGGGTCCAAGCTGTTGTTTCCCTAATGTTTTTGGGGTGAATGTGTCACCACTACAGTCTACCTCCTCAACAGGTAGCCTTCTAGAGTACTTGGATGCAAATCACCATTTGAGTTGCTTTATTTGCATTCCCCTTCACTACAACACTTAAAGGTCTTTGGTTGTTTGCGTTATGCAGTATGTCCTAGAATTCTTGACAAGTTCTCACCGAGAGCCATCCTTGCTATCTTCCTAGACAATTCTTCCTCACAAAAGGGTTGTGTTCTGTATGACTTGAACTCTAAGTCTCTATTTGTTAATAGACATATTGTTTTTCAGGAGGAAATCTTTCCTTTCAAGCATATGCTATCTCCTGGTAGCATTATCTTTCCTGTACTGGATCTACTCTCACCAACTAGTGCAGATCCCAGATTGTCTTCCACAGATACTTCTTCTGGTGCTGATGTCTATTCACAAGCGGCTGGTACTGCATTTGAGGGGGAGTCTCCTCTTTCTCATGTTGCTGCTCCTCACAACACAACAGACTATCCTACAAGTCCTACAGACCCTGCAAATGATCTCACAGATTCTACAGAAGTTGTTGATGCTGATGCTCAATCTGATCCTACAGAGGCTACTAATGCTGCAGAGCCTGTTGTAGTAGTGGATCCATCTAGTGTCTTGTCTGATCAAGTAAGAAGATCATCCAACAGTAAGCCTCCCTTATTGATGCAAGATTATGTGGTCAAGTCAAAGGCTAATAGGAGCTTTTATCCTATCTCAGCCTATATGAGTTATTCTCAAATTACTCCCTCATACAGTCAGGTCATGTTAGCTTATTCAACTTGTTCTGAGCCTCAGTCCTTCAGTGAAGCAGCTACTGATCCTCTATGAAGCTGGATATTGCTGCCTTGGAGGAAAACGAGACCTGGAGCATAGTTGATCTTCCCCCTACAAGACACCAATTGGGTGTAGACGAATCTTCAAAGTCAAGTACAAGACCTCAGGAGAGGTTGAAAGATACAAGGCCAGACTTGTAGCCAAAGGCTACAGTCAAAAGGAAGGGCTAGACTACAGTGAAACTTTCTCCCCAGCAGCCAAAATGGTTACAATTAGATCCATTGTGGCTCTTGCAGCCTCACAGCAGTGGATGGTTTACCGGTTGGATGTTCACAATACATTTCTTAATGGTGAATTGGTTGAAGAAGTGTACATGTATATTCCACAGGGGTTTTCCAGAGACTAAGAAGGTCTGCAAACTTCATAAATCTCTATATGGTCTTAAACAAGCACCAAGGTAGTGGAATATGAAGCTAACATGGGTACTTCTGCAGATGGGATTCAAACAAAGTCACTATGATTATTCATTGTTCATCGGAGGAACTGATAGTGACACGGTTATCATCCTTGTATATGTAAGGACCTATTGATCACAAGGAACAATGATAAGCTATTATGTGACACTAGAATAGAGTTGTAGAAGAAGTTCAAGATGAAGGATGTAGGAGAGTTGAAATTCTTTCTAGGAACTGAATTTGCTAGATCAAAGAAAGGAATTCTTATGTGTCAAAGAAAGTATGTACTGGAGTTGATATCTGAAGCAGACTTAGGTGGACAAGGCCTTCTGGTACACCATTAGAATTGTAAGCACGTGATTTTTGCCCTATGAAAGAATTACTCCCAAAAAATTCAAAATAAAATAATTTTCCTTTGTGTGCAATTTTTGTTATTTTTGTGGTATTTTTGTATAATTATTTGTATTTTTATGAGTGCATGTTTATTTGTTTTAATTAATAAAAATATAAAATATATCACATTTTCATTTAGTATTTAATTAAGTTTGTTTTACAAAAAA